TAGACTTCTTCTAGCATTTGAGCGCAATTTTCCTTTCCATCATTCTCATGAAAGATATTAAAAAGATGAAGCGTATGAGGCAAACTCAATTCCATTTTTTGTAGTTTTCTTTTATAAACTAAATTAGTGCTAAAACAAGAAACAAAAAGATTCGATTGCAAGATCTAAAGATATACCTTCAAGCGCTAACCTCCCCTGCAACAGCGCCAGAAAAGAGCTTGATGTCTACTACACAACCTTTTTCTTGTAGACGTTGTTGGGCCTCCAAGTGCAGAGGTTTATAGGACAGTAGCAAATTTCCCTCAAGTGGATGACCTAAGGTTTATCAATCCGTGGGAGGTGTAGGATGAAGATGGTCTCTCTCAAACAACCCTGCAACCAAATAACAAAGAGTCTCTTGTGTCCCCAACACACCCAATACAATGGTAAATTGTATAGATGTACTAGTTCGGCGAAGAGATGGTGATACAAGTGCAATATGGGTAGTAGATAAAAGTTTTCGTAATCTGAAAATATAAAAACAGTAAGGTAACTAATGATAAAAGTGAGCGTAAACGGTATTGCAATGCGTTGAAACAAGGCCTAAGGTTCATACTTTCACTAGTGCGAGTTCTCTCAGCAATAATAACATAATTGGATCATATAACTATCCCTCAACATGCAACAAAGATTCACTCCAAAGTCACTAATAGCGGAGAACAAACGAAGAGATTATGGTAGGGTACGAAACCACCTCAAAGTTATCCTTTCTAATCGATCTATTCAAGAGTCCGTAGTAAAATAACACGAAGCTATTCTTTCCGTTCAATCTATCATAGAGTTCGTACTAGAATAACACCTTAAGACACAAATCAACCAAAACCATAATGTCACCTAGATACTCCAATGTCATCTCAAGTATCCGTGGGTATGATTATACGATATGTATCACACAATCTTAGATTCATCTATTCAACCAACACAAAAAACTTCAAAGAGTGCCCCAAAGTTTCTATCGGAGAGTCAGGACGAAAACGTGTTCCAACCCCTATGCATAAGTTCACGAGGTCACGGAACTCGCAAGTTGATCACCAAAACATACATCAAGTGGATCACGTGATATCCCATTGTCACCACAGATAAGCACATGCAAGACATACATCAAGTGTTCTCAAATCCTTAAAGACTCAATCCGATAAGATAGCTTCATAAGGAAAACTCAATTCATTACAAGAGAGTAGAGGGGGAGAAACATCATAAGATCCAACTATAATAGCAAAGTTCGCGATACATCAAGATCGTACCACCTCAAGAACACGAGAGAGAGAGAGAGATCAAACACATAGCTACTGGTACATACCCTCAGCCCCGAGGGAGAACTACTCCCTCCTCGTCATGGAGAGCACCAGGATGATGAAGGTGGCCACCGGAGAGGGATTTCTCCCTCCGTCAGGGTGCCGGAACGGGTCTAGATTGGTTTTCAGTTTCTACGGAGGCTTCTGGCAGCGGAACTCCCGATCTATTCTTCTCCCCAATGTTTTTAGGGTATATTAATATATATAGGCGAAAGAAGTCGATCAGGGGAGCCACGAGGGGCCCACGAGGGTGGGGACGCGCCCAGGGGGCAGGCGTGCCTCCATGCCTCGTGGCCACCTCGAAGCTTCCCTGACATCTACTCCAAGTCTCCTGGATTGCTTCCATTCCAAAAATAACTCTCCCGAAGGTTTCATTCCGTTTGGACTCCGTTTGATATTCCTTTTCTTTGAAACACTGAAATAGGTAAGAAAACAACAATTTGGGATGGGCCTCCGGTTAATAGGTTAGTACCAAAAATAATATAAAAGTGTGTAATAAAGCCCATAAACATCCAAAACAGATAATATAATAGCATGGAACAATAAAAAATTATAGATACGTTGGAGACGTATCACGGGCATGTATCGGTTCGCAGGGTGGGTCGGGAGTATTTTCTCTTGCAAACCGAAAACAAATGCGGGGGGACTTTGTGGGCGTCCGAACAGCTCCCAAGTCCGCTTCTGACTGCCCTGGTCTACCCAAACTCCCCACCAGTCCCTCCGGCACTTTCCATCCCACGTGTCGCTCCGTTTGCTTCACCGCATTCATGCCGGCAGAGAGCATCCAGCGACCGACATTGATGCCCGCGATTTGACCGGTTGAGAAGGCGGCGTAACAGATGCGACCTCTCGGTGTCGCCGCTTCAATGCAGATGCCACATCTCGAGAAACCAACTTCGGACGTCACCCCGCATTGAAGCGGGCTGGCCGCCCCTCTTCCTGGCCTGGCCACGGCTATGTAAGCCCTGCGCGAGCGACGACCAGATCCGCACCGTCCTCCTCCCCCTCTCGAGCACTGCATCGTCCTCCTTGCCCTCGTTGAGCCCTTCCTCCTCTTTGAGCCAAGCGGTGATGCCGAAGTCCTGGTTCTCCGCGCCAACAAGTAGCTCCAGTGGAAGTTTCTCATCAGGCGGATCGTGGCATCGTCGCCCTCGCTAACCGGGACCATCTGCATCCACGGCGGCGGGCTCCTCCGGCAAGGTGGATATAGTCATCTCCTCCGTGACGAGGAGGACCAGTAGAGCGTTCGCTCCGTCAGATGGGCCCAGTGCCACCATCGCCGACGCGCGTAAAGGAGGAGCCACCGTCCCTATCACGAGAGCTGGCGCCCCCACTCCGTGGCGTGAAGCACGAGCCGACGTCCCGCCGCGCAACCGCGGCCTCCACATTGGCGACCGCGTGAAGCAGGAGCCGGCGTCCCCTCAGCGCCTCCTCCGCATGAAGAACGATCCGGCATCGCCCCCCGCCGCACAGCCGGTACGCACGGATCGACGGGCCCTCGTCACCACCACGACGTCGCCGCCGCTCGATAGAGGAGGAGCTGCCACCCGCGATCGCCAAGGTGCGTCGCCCCATCCTCCACTAGTTCGGAGGTGGCGGCTGCGGGGGTGCCTCTGACTCTTGGGCCATGGTATCCGAGGCTGAACGCATGGCGCGGCAACATGCGAGGTACGATCAGCGCTATGCCGGTAGCTATTCCGTGTTCGCCAAGATGGATGTGGCGCCGGAATGGGTCCACAACGACCCGAACCTCGCTGCGGCATGGGCGCTCGACCGCTCCGTCACCACCGCTGAGACATCCGCCAGGCGCCCCGCCGCCTTGACAGTGAGGAGTGGTCGCTTAGCGACTGCTTCGCCAGCACTAGCAGGGGCAAGGCCGCCGCCAGGGCGCCGCCGGTGCCTTCGGTAGTGGCCAAGGCGACCCTTTGCACAGCGCAACAGGAAGCGGACCCGCTCCTCGGCGAGCGTCAGGCAGCCGACAGACAAGGTTGTCGTGGCCCTCCGACATCCTTGCATCGTTGGAGGGACGACGACGACGGCGACGACGGTGTGGTAGGACAGGGCGGCCACGCTTACGAGATGGTCGCCCGATATAGGGTTTAGTATTTTTTTTAGTTTTTAGTAAAACTGTCGAAATATTTTCCGTTTATGTAAATTATATTCGAACTTGAATGAAATCCATCTGGTTTGATTTCGTCTGGTTAGTTCAAATTGTTGGCTAAATATATGCGGTTATGATTGGATGATGGCCTCCTGCATCCGTGCCCGCCGACGGATGCGGAATTTTTTTTTACGGGTTGCATGTTGGAGATGCCCTAATACAACATGTGTATGCCAAGATAATTAGTAGCAGGAAATTGCAACGTCACCCGCAATTTTTTTTTGCAACGTCAGTCATCTCTCATCTACTGCTGGCTGGCCTCCTTGTGACGAAGCAAACTGTATCGATTAGAACCACGCACAATCATTGCCGGGGTCACTGGGACAGGCAGCAGTGATGTTGGGCTAGATGCATGCATCATGCCACTCTACTCTAATACTTACAACCATTTGTCAGGGGACAGCCGGCCGATCTCCGCGCCTGATTCCGTGAGGTGAATCTGGACGTGCACATGGGTTGACCAGGGTCCTGATTTCATTTTATTTTGTACGTCAGGGTGGTACGGGCGAGGACGAAACAGTGGGATAACGCGTACCATCTTGTCGCGGTAGTATATCTGCATCGTCATTCTACGGAAATTTCCTCGCGCGTCACAACCTTCCATGGAATCCTGTCTTAATTCAAATGATTCTGAAACAACGGAAACGAGGTTTGGTTTTCAGTTAATCCTACAAATTCTCATGACAGCAAAATTTATCTCAAATGCTAATACAAGTGACGTTAGTTTTATAGGTTTTCGGCACGAATACCCTATGCACCGCCAGATCCCGTGCACCCTCTAAGCGAACAACATGATAACAACAGTATTTGATTTGCTTGGGATGACAATATGAGCGAACACATTCGGGAATGTCATTTTATGTTTGTACAGCATGGCAATTCCCACATTTTTTTTCGTTGATGTCGCAAGACGACAAATCTTGAGCATGGCAATTTTCGTCATTTCTTTTTTTTTAAGTGGCAAATCTCCATGTTTCAATCATGACGATTTTCCCAAAACCCATGGAAGAACTCTGCTGTAGCATGGCAATTTTCTGACAATCTTTGGCAAATTTTACTTTAGGCAAATCCTTTACAACAACACAACAATTTTATCTATTTTTGCATGACAATTCTAGAGGGTTCACTGGCAGTGAGTTTCTTTAGCGAACGAAAATGTTCGTTTGATCCTTTCTGTCTGGGGAATGATTGTTCTCTCAGGTTACCTTTCCAAGGGAACGCCAGATGTATATTGCAATTCATATTTATTTGATTGCGCCAGTAATTAGAAAGGAGGTTTGATTCTCAGTGGAACTTAATTATTGTGTCCAACTGAATTCCACGCGCACGTGTTGTAGTACAAAGAAATGCCACACTCACAATACTGACAAACTATCATAAGAATCCCTTAAGCTACCGATACTTAAATTTGTTCGGAAATTAAGCTCGATGGAATCCCTAAATTTTCTGTTGTCTTTCGGAAATTTTTGATTAATTCCGACCTCTACGAACCAAGAGTTGTGCGATCAGTAGCTCCAGCAAGATGGGTCCCAGAGCGAGCCTTGGGACCACTCGTCATTGTCGACCGCGCTGCCCTCCCAGACAGGTGGGGCCAACAGCATGGCCTCCGCCAGCTCCGCCCACATGTTGGGCGACTCGGGCTCCAGATCATCAGAGCGAAGCAGGGCATTCCACGCCACGTCATCGAGCCGGTCAGGGAAGCCGCCGCCGCCGCTGCTGCCACAGCCGCCCGGCTGTAGCACGAGGTCGGGCCTGAACCGGACCTGGGCCGCGGCCTCCAGCGCGGCCGCACGGACGTCGTCGGGCTCGGCAGTGTCAGGCCGGCGGAAGAGGTGGGCGAGGCCCGGGAAGTTGAGTCTGGCCTCGTGCCCCCGTAGCCGGAGCGCGGCCACGTCGTGCGCCACGGCGGCCATCTCCGGCGACTCGAAGCTGCCAAGCCAGATGCGCGTCTTCTTGCCGGGCTCCCTGATCTCGGACACCCACTTACCCCACTTCCTCTTCCTCACCCCACGGTACTGCTCGGCCGCCGCAACGCCGGCGGCATTGTCGGGCACGACCTCCATCGCAGCAATGACGATCGAAGCTATGTGATGCGCCTGTGTAAGCACAAGAAGTTGTTTGCTGCAGGAGTGTCGCAGCGTGAGCTCTAAGTTGGTGTTGGATTGGAGGCGTGCGTGTGGGTATATATAGGGAAGGGATAGAAAGGGCAGAGATCGACTAGAAAGAGAGATGCAGAGATGGTGAGGTGTGCGGGAGTGAAGATGAGAGAGAAGAAGAGGTGTGTTGAAAACTTGAAGTGCATGGGTGCATGCATGGGGCGGGAGGTGGTGTTTGAGCTGGGTGGAGACAGCTGGAGTCTGATACGTGTCGCCTCCCTGTTTTTCTTTGTAAAAAATATAAATGGCCATATGGGTGTGTTGGGATATAGAAAGAGAGAGATACCGCGATGGTGCATTATCCACCGGCAGCAGGATTAGGAGATGTTGGTTTGCTTTGTGGGAGGGAGCTTCCTCGACAGTGCAATGGTTTTGGAGTTTGTTATGATGTGATGCACTATGCATGTGCTTATTATCACGCTTCAATGGCTTGGCCTTGTAACTTCTTTTATTTTTACATGTACTATTACAACATCAATGTTGTGTGCATGTCAATAGCTCAACCACGAATTTTGTCATATGTCGCTACTTGTTTTTTTTGTGGAAAAGGATATATGGCACTATAAAGTGGCTAGTGTCAACTTTTATGAAAGCAAATACTATAGGTAGAAGCTAAGGGCATCTTCAACGCCGACCCGTAAATTTCCTCCCGCATCCGTCCGCGGACAGGGAGGGCCAGTCCGCAGACACTCATGTCGAAGGCCGCCATCCAACACTGTACGCATACATTTCAATAACTTTTTGAACTAACCGGACAAAATTCATGGAAATACAGAGGAATTCATACAAACCCAAACCAGACGACATTCGTTACATTCTGGAGACTTTTTAACTAAAAGCTATACCAGACTAAGGTAAAACTAGTCTACGCTCGGCGCCGGCACATATCCATTCTCACAACACGGGTACCCTTGACTAGTCTATGACCGGCCGTGGTGGATTCCATTGTCTACCCCATGTCCGGCAGCCCGCTCATCGGGCTGTTGTGAGCCCAGAGGTATATGTTTTAGCGCAAAGGGCAGCTCGCATCCCCATGTTCAGCAGCCCCGCTCATCAAAGTGGAACCGTTCAGATGTGCTTCAGACGGAGGGGAAGGGGACGACAGTGGCCTGCCACCAGGCACGATACCCGCTTACATCGACGTCGCCTCGGCGGTGGCCTTCATGGGACCCATGCGGCGGTGGCCTCCCATGTTCTACTTCTTCTCGATGATGGCGGAGGGCGTAGACGTGTTGGACGCCGCAACGCCGATCTCCGCGAAGCCGGCTTCTGTCTCCCTCGGCACGGTGCGGTCGCGGAAATGTTGGTGGTGGATAGCGATCGCAGGCACGGGAGGAGCAGTGCGACATGGTGTTGTCCACGGCAGCCCCGATGCCTATGGCGCCGTGGGACCACGCGTACCAGCCTGGAGCAACTCGCCACTCCTCGGCGAGCTGGCTTGGAGTTGCGAGTTACTAAACGACGCTTCAGCTTGGAGTTTTTGCCTTCGTGAGCTGGCCTGCAGCGGCCTGGACTGTGGACGGAGGTGGAGCAGAGAGTTGCCTGGCTCGTATCCGGCGGGCTTGACGAGCCACCTAGACGACTTTTATGTCGGAGAACTTGTCTTCCTGCTCGTCGGATGCCATGGAGATTGTGGAGAAAATGATGTGCAAGGGAAGAGATGGGAGCGGAGTGTGCTATGATTTTTGCCCGACATCTGGCATTGTTTAAATATCGGGGGCATGGCTGGAGCCAACCGTCGTTGTTTTTAATGACGGATGGCTCCTGACCGAACGTGGGGCCTGTGAGGTTTCTCGACACACGCGCAGGTTTTAATGGATGAAGGCAGGCAGTCTGTGATTGTTTGAATGTGGCGAGGAGAGGCGTGTTCAGCCGTGCGAGCAACGAGCGGCGCTCTCTCGGCTGGCGCGCTGCTTCAATGCCAGCAGTGAGAGGTCGCTTCGTCTGTGTTGCCCTCCCGTCTGGTCAAATCGCGGCATCAATGCCGACTGCTGCATGCTCTAGGATGGCATGAATGCAGCGCGACAAGTGGCATGGGCGGGCGGTCAGACGTGGGTGTGGTAGCGGTCCGGCCGCTCGCAAAGCCCCTCACATTTGTCTCCGGTTTGCTGGGGAAATTACTTTTGGAACACCATGAGGACTGATACATGCCCGTGTTAGATGACACAATATGTTTGCATAGCGTGGTCCGGATATATGCGGGCAGTTTGAGGGTCGGTGTTGAAGATGCCCTATAGAGGTGAAAGGAGCTCCATCGATGTGAGGTGGGACGAGAAGGAGCAAGAAGGGCGACTAGCCGCATATATATTGGATGTGGCATCGAGGTCCTAAATTTGAACTTCAACTAGAATGTGTTGGAGAGTACAAGGTGCAACTGATGTACTTGAACCTGGGTACAACTTAACTTGAATGGCATTGACAAAAATAATGTTGAAGACCTCTGGTTCAAAAGAATCTAAAAGGAATTTGTTTAGGATTATATTTCTTCGGAATTAATTTTGTTTTATTTTCCTTTTACATGCAGTTCCATTGGGATTTTTTTCCTTGGGTCCAATCTCATGCAAAATTTCCTTTGTTTCAGCAACAACTATGGCACAACCTTAATCATTCCGATTTTTGTGTGTTTTTTTGTGCGACAACATTTTCATGACAACCAAACAACATTTATTACCCCAATCATGTGTTTCCAATTTCTACCTTATACAACATGTCATGACAACAAATTTTGCATTTTTCCTGTTCCCACTTTTCAAAATCCCGGGGAAAATCCTACTTGTCAACAACAACAATTCTCAACGAATTGGTCGACCGACAATTAAATCAATCAGAAGGCGGTAGAAACCCCAAATAATATGAGCTGACAAAACACCTTTGAATCTAGAATGTGATATGATGACATGTCAATTTTTCGAGCATGTCAATAGTTCAACCAAGAATTTCATTATATCTCACTATTTGTTTTTTTAACTTTCTAGTTTTAACTTTTAAGAAAGCATTGCTGTGAGAAGAAACTAAGGAGGTGAAAGGAGCTCGATCGAGGTGAAGACGACTGAGGAAACAATTGGGTGACTAGCCACGACAAAATTTTACCATGTGACATGAGTTCCTAGGGCTTGCACTCAAACAGAAGGTGTTTGAGAGTAGAGGGTGCGAACAATGTACTCCTAATTGAAAACATTTTAACTTAATGGTCTTTACAAAAGTAGTCTTCAATGTCGCTTTGGTTCAAAATAATCTCATCGGGATTTTGGAAGATTATATTTCTTAGAAAGAACTACCTACAGATCAAGTTTGCCTTTTAGGATTGGAAACCATATGATGTTTTTGAACAGTAAAACCATATGATTTTGTCCTATTTTATACTTTTACATGCAATTTGATTGGAAAATTTCCCTTGGGTTAAATCTCATCTAAATTTTCCTTTGTTGCAATGATAACGATGGAACAAATCCTTTTTAGAGAAGGTGAACACACTCAACCTCTGCATCGATGATGTACATAACCCTTTATTAAAAAAACCAAAGTTCAAAACTCGAGTTCAATAGAGTTAAACAAATAAAATGCTACAAATGTCTTCCCCAAGGGCAATAAAAAGAAACAGAAAAAGGACCCTCGTGCATCACAAATCCTACTAGTAGGTCTCCAACCAAACTAGTTGAACAAACCCCGAGAGACCATCTCCCATCGGTTGCACTCAATATTGTTGGCTCCCGTTCCTCCTTCTTGTGAGGTGATGACCATGTATAGATCCAGCTAATGTCCTTGAAGATAACCTGCAAAACTTTGGAGCTTTGTTCTGTTAAAAATATAATCATTACAAGTGTTCCAGATGGCCCGAAGTAAAGCACAAACTCCCACATGGATTTGATACATACTTGGGATGCACGCCAACTAACCACTTCTAAACATATTTGGACAAATCACGTGAAAATTTTAAACTATATGGACAAATCAGCGTAATAGCTTTGCAAGAGGGAGGTGAAGGAATTGATATTGAATCGACTCCTCATTACCAGAAAAGTAATACTTAGTGCATTCTTGCCAATTTTGCTTTTTTGGATTATCTATAGTCAAAATGACTTTGCGATCTAAACACCACATGAAAATTTTATACTTCAGGGACATTTCCATTCCCAAATTTATTTGTGGTTCAAGGATTGCCCATCATTGGTAAGGTTTGAATACATGGATTTGAGTGTGACGACACTGGAAGTAGTTAACTTCCAATGGAACCGACCTAACCATTTTGAAATTATTCTTTTCTTTGCATGCTAAATCAAGAAACATTTACACATTCATGTATTCAAACTAGCTACCATCATCTGCATTGCAATTAAAAGTGATTTCCTTGGGAAGTGGGGAGGCACTCAAAAGTGATTTCCTTGGGAAGTGCTCTAGCAAAACCGTTTGATTTATCACATATTTTTTGACCTAAATTAGAGTAGATGAAGCCCTACAAACATGTTTTTTAAATTATCTAAATTAGTGTATTGATACAGGAAAGGAATACTGAGATTGGTAAAAATAAAAATAATATCACATTTTTATGAAAAATATTCTCTATAATATGAAATATGCAAACATTCTTTGTAAACTGATCAAAGTGTAAAGTCAACCTTTGTAAACCTGTAGTACCGGGGATATAGGTAGTTCTCTTTATATACTTGATCAAAAAATTTGAAACTTGACTTTGCAAAATCAATGTCACTATATTATAAGATGATTGGAATACTGAAAATGCCAAATAGATGTCCGAGCTCAATGGAGGCTGAAATTGGAAACTTCAAAATTCAATGTTTTTAGTTTCAAAAAAATTATGAAAACACACACATATATCTAGAGACATAATGTACATTTGTGTAAATTTTTAGGCCGAAATATATTAAAATGATATTTACAAAAAAATC